GGAACACCACAACAAAATGGTGTTGCAGAAGACGCTTTGTGATAGGGCACAAAGCATGCTTTCACACTCATGTGTTAGCAAAGATTTTTTGGCTGAAGCAATCAATACAGCTTGTTATTTGGTCAACAGATCTCCATCCACAGCTATTAAGTTCAAAACTCCTTTTGAGGTATGGTCCGGTTCGCCTGCTGATTATTCAAATTTAAGGATATTTGGTTGTCCTGCTTATGCTCATGTGAGGGATGGAAAACTTGAGCCCAGGGCAAAGAAGTGCATATTTCTAGGGTATGCAACTGGAGTGAAAGGTTATAGGTTGTGGTGCACAGATCAAAAGACTCCAGGGCTAATTATCAGTAGGGATGTAACATTCAATGAATCTGCCTCACTAGACAGTCAGAGGGAGAAGGCAATAGCAGAAACAGATCGTGGTGTCAGTGACCGCATAGAGCTAGAAATTGAATCTCCACTAGCTCAGCCCAGTAGTTCTAAAGTAGAGGAAGTGGAGGAGGTGCAAAATATTGATCAAGATGATAATGTTGATGCACCTGCGCAACAACCCTATAGCATTGCAACAGGCAGAGAGAAGAGAGTGATCAATCCACCACAAAGGTTTGCAAACATAGCTGATGGTAATTTTCTTGGATATGCTAATTTTGTGGAGTTTGCTTTGTCTGTTGCAGAGACCATTGATGTGCTTGAGCCTAATAGCTATAAATAAGCTATTTCTAGTCCAGAAGCAGATCAGTGGGTTGGTGCTATGAATGAGGAGATTGAGTCTCTTCATGAGAATCAGACATGAAGCTTGTTCTATTGCCAAAGAGACATAAGGTACTAGGCTTTAAATGGATTTTCAAAAGAAAAGAGGGCAATCCAGGGGTTGAAATATCAAGGTACAAGGCAAGATTAGTGATAAAGGTTTTACACAGAGGGAGGGGATAGATTACAATGAAGTGCTCTCCAGTGGTAAAGCATAGCTCTATCAGGGTCTTACTGGCTTTGGTGGCTCTTCATGACTTAGAACTAGAGCAGTTAGATGTGAAAACTGCATTCTTGCATGGTGAGTTGGATGAGCAGATTTATATAAGTCAACCTGAGGGATTCATTACTCAGTATAAGAAAAATCATGTTTGCTTGCTTAAGAAATCTTTATATGGTCTGAAACAGTCACCTAGGCAGTGGTATAAAAGATTTGATACATTCATGATTCAAAATGCATTTTCTCGAAGTGCATATGATAGTTGTGTGTATTACAAAAAGCTTGAAGACGGTTCTAGTGTATATTTGTTGTTATATGTGGATGACATGCTTATTATTGCTAAAAGCATGTCACATATTACCCGATTGAAGAAGCAACTAGGTGAGGAGTTTGAGATGAAGGATTTAGGTGCTACATAGAAGATATTGGGGATGGAGATTACTCGAGATAGAAGGTTTGGAAAGCTGATGTTGTCCCAACGGTCCTATATTGAGAAGGTCCTCAAGAGATTTAATATGACAGGTGCTAAATCTGTGTCTGTTCCTTTTGCTTCCCATTTCAAGTTGTCTGCAGACATGTCACCAAAAACAGATGAGGAGATGGAGCAGATGTCTAGTGTTCCATATTCGAGTGTTGTAGGTAGCATTATGTATGCTATGGTTCGCACTCGCCCTGACATTTCACATGTTGTTACTGTTGTGAGTAGATACATGGTGTGTCCTGGTAAAGAACATTGGCAGGCGGTAAAGTGGATCTTGAGATACTTGAAGGGTACTGCAGATGTAGGCTTGACTTTTTACAAAGACAAGTTGAGTGAATCCTTAGTTGGCTATGTCGATTCAGATTATGCAGGGGACTTGGATAAGAAAAGATCTCTGACATGCTATGTTTTTACTCTTTCTGGTAGTGTCATCAGTTGGAAGGCGACTTTGCAGTCTGTCGTTGCTTTGTCTACCACAGAAGCTGAGTATATGGTAATTACGGAAGCAGTTAAAGAGGCTATTTGGCTACAAGGCTTGGTAAGTGATCTTGGACTAGCTCAGAAGAAGACACAAGTTTTTTGTGACAGTCAGACTGCCATTCATCTTACTAAGAATCAGATGTTTCATGAGCGGACGAAGCATATTGAAGTCAGACATCACTTTATTCGAGACATTATATCAAAGGGGGTTGTTAATGTGGAGAAAGTGTCTACGCATGATAATCCAGTTGATATGATGACCAAGGCAGTCCCGGCCAATAAGTTTAGGCATTGCCTAGACTTGATTGGTGTGTGCAGTACTCAATAGAGCCCTTGCGAGGGCTGAGGGCAAGGTAGAGAGACGTTGTTCCTGTTGATGAAGAGAATTCAAGCCAAGGGGAAGATTTGTTATTTGTGGCTTGAATTAATTCCTTGTATTTTTAGGAAACCCATAGTCCCTATAAGTTTAGGAAAACCCATTGTCCTAATAGATTTGGGAAAGGAAAACCTATAGTCCTTGTCAAATTGGAAAACCTTTCTCTTATATGTTTGGGACCTTTTGGGATCTATATATAGGGGTTGTAGTTGGGGATTCTAAAGATTGTATTGTGTTTTTCTTCTCGTTCATAGTGAAAAACTCTCTCTGCTTTTGCCCCGAGGATTAAGCTTAGCCGAACCTCGTTAAATTCTTGTGTTGATTTTTCTTCTCTATTTGCTTTGTGTGTGATTGTGTGCTAGTTAACCCACGATATTTCGCAACAAGAACTTTATTTACATTCAAATGCATTGAGTTCCAATATTCCATCAACTTTTTGGAGTAATAGAGGTAGTATATCAGGTCTGAGTTTGTCCTCCAATTTTCTCAATGGTTCTTTACCTTTAGGAATAGGAAGTTTGAGAAGTCTAAACAATTTAAGTTTATCACGAAATCAACTAAAAGAAATAAAGAGCAGTACAGTGCACAAAGCATCCTACGTTCACGCAGGGTCTGGGGAAGGGCTGTACCCCTAGGGGTGTGATGTAGACAGCCTACACTAATGCAAACATTAGTGACTGTTTTCACAGCTCGAACTCGTAACCTATAAGTCATACGGAGACAACTTTACCGTTGCTCTGAGGCTCTCCTTCAATCAAGAAATCAATTAACTCCAAGCACAATAGGACAACTACATAATTTGGTGAGTCTTTCATTGTCGATGAATGATTTTGAAGGCCGTATACCTAAATCAGTTGGAGACTTGGTTACTCTTGAATACTTGGATCTATCCGGAAATAACCTTTCTGGAATGATCCCTGAGTCTTTGGTGAATCTTCAACTACTCAGCTATCTTAATGTGTCTTTCAATGCACTTATTGGTGAGGTTCCAAACGGAGGGCCTTTTAGAAACTTGACAGCTGAATCTTTCATGGGTAATGCCGAATTGCGTGGACCATCTCAATTCAATGTGGTGGAATGCAGAGTCGATAGCCTAAAAAGAAGAAATAAAAAGAGAAATTTAACTTTTATTCTTACATCAGTTGCAGTAGCGTTAATAGGCATAACCATTTTCATCTTTTGCTTGCTGAAATACCGAAAAGGAAGCAAGCAACATCCCATTCCACGATTTGATAGGTCAACACCATAAGAGGATCTCTTACTACGAAGTTGTTCGAAGGACAAACAATTTTGATGAAGCCAATTTTATTGGCATGGGAGGGCTTGGTTTAGTATACAAAGGAACACTCCTAGATGGAAGTATTGTTGCTGTAAAGGTTTTTAATACAGAAGTACAAGATGCATTTAGAAGGTTTGATTTGGAGTGTGAGATTTTGCGCAACATTCGCCACAGAAATCTTGAGTTCTTCAATTCTTTCATTGAAGATCTTGGCTTGAAGAGATGGGTGTTTGAATTGTCCCTTGATAGAGTTGCTTTAGGTTAAAGGAATTTAGCTTAGTTCTTGAACAAGTTTCGGATAGTAGCTGAACTGCTGGTTCGATTCTTATAGTAGTATACTACTGCGGCTTTCAAAGCAGTAGAATATACTTACAACAATAGAATTGCAAAGGTTAAGACTTATTGCTGTAACATGCTTTGGCTGCTGAGAAACTACATTCTTCAATTCTCTGCTTATTGCTAGTATTTTATCATTGACGTGATAGTGACTAGTAATTCAATGAGTTAATTAATACCCTAAAACCCGCCTAAACTATACAACTTTTGTCACTTGCCTATTTAAACTATCGCCTGTACCCGAAAACATCCTGAACTATATCACCTTCATACCCTCGTCGCTTATGTAATATAATGTGTGTAATAAATTGCCAAAGAGCGTGTGAAAGCGAAAAAAGCCATTAAAATCGCCCACCTGACAGTGTTTAATGGCTAATTAGCCTTTCTTTTTTTAAAATTTATATATTTTTTTATTTTCTCCTCTTTTTCTTTATATTTCACCTTCCTTCCTCATCGTTTTACCTTTCTTCTCCATTTTTTCACCTTTCTTTTCCATTTCTTCATTTGAATCTATCTGAAATTCTCCTCTCTTATCAAAATAGATAAAGTAATTGAGTTTAGAACAAAGATTAATGGAGAAAATCGCTACTGATGTAGCCATTCTCCAATGAGAGCAAAGTCTTCGATGAGAGCAAAGAGAAAATGAGTTTTTAACAATATAATTGACCCACTAATTTTAACCCTAGCCTCTTTTTTTTTATTTTTACCGGTAATTTTTGCAATGATATAAGTACTAAAGAGTATTAAAATCTTAATTATTAAGTCTTTTTTTAATTAAGCTAAGCAAATATCCACGTAGATTGTCACATAAAAAATTTTAAAAATAAGTTGGAGCATGTATTATACGCACCGGTAAGAATGCGACGAGAGGGTTTTATTATGAAGAAGGATATAGATCATAGGGTTTTCGAGAGCATACGATAATTTAAGTAGGCAACTAATAAAGGTAGGCAACTAATAAAGGTCGTATAGTCTAGCTAGATGCTAGGGTATTAACTCTAATTCAATTTGTTCATTGTCGCCACACATAAAATAATTGCACTCAAGATATCTACATAATCACACTCCATAATTTATAGCAATCAAAGACAGAAAAGTAGCATTTCACTTGCATTAAACACAAGATACAGCATACAGACACATTTCCCATTCATCATACTCATAAACATAGAAAACTTAAAGACAGAAGAGCAAAAGATCGCCCACCCTAGATCTCTAACATCGTTATTACACCATACCATCAAACATTAGAACAGAGAACCTCCATTCCCATGTCCACAAAACAGAGTAATAGCTGCTCCATAGCTTCATGCAATTTTAACCTCGATAGTTTTGGGTTTCTTAGGCTCAGGTGGAGGCAACTTCTGGACAGTCACAGTCAAAACTCCATCTTGACAAACAGCAGAAATGGCATCACTATTCGTATTCTCTGGCAGCGTAAACTTCCTCATGAATTTCCCAACCCTTCTCTCCATTCTAATATACTTTGCCCCATCTTTCTCTTCTTCTCTCTTCCTTTCTCCACTGATCAGCAGCACATTGTCATCTTCCACCTGCACTTTAATATCTCCGGATTTCAACCCTGGCATGTCCACAACGAAAACATAGGAATTGGGATACTCTTTCACGTCGGCTGGTGTTGCAGCCATGGCCTTAGCGTCACGTACGTAATTCCTTGATGGGGCATTCACAGACTTGTCGGAATCATCAGCGACGGCGTCCATGAGGTGCTGGAGAGTGTGGAAGAGTGGTGTGTCGATACCCATTAGCCTGAAATCCATCTTCCTCTTCTTGGTTGAATTGGTTCAATTTTGAGATACTTTTGAACGTGGGATTTTGATTTGCTGTATTTGAATTGGGTTTTCGCTTTCGATTGCAGAGAAAGTTGACGGAAGTTGGGGTGATTATATAGAGGAAAGATAGAAGCTTCTGGAAGGAAATAGAAGTACAAGGTTGGATGGTTCTAGGAGCTTTTCTTCTTCACGTTGTACATGTTCTACACTTGTCTAGAACCTTGTTAATTGTTAGATGTAAGGTATAGTCCCCCTCCCCACCCCCACCCCATTTTCCTCTTTTCCGGTCTAAAGGTGTGGTCTCCTATTATTTTTTGTTACTCCTAATTTCTGTTTAAAAAGTAAAATTGGGACTCGCCCGAGGTTCGTCTTGGGGCGGGGCACTCATAAAACGCCCCTAGGCTTATGTGTGGGGCTTAGTTCCGTGAGACTTATGCTTCGGTTATCGGGGCTTACATTCCGAACACGCTTAACGCCCAACGCCCAGCGTACCGGGCTCGCCTAATAAAACTTTATGCAATTGTATGTAACTAACCTTGTAAATCCTCAAATTTTCTTAATAAATCGTTGACTATTCAAAATTACTTTTTTCTTAGGAAAAATGCATAAGTACCCCCCTGACCTATACCCGGATTCCCAACTACACACTTTTTTTTTGCGGGAATCCTATTACCCCCCTAAACTTATTTTAAATGGAATTATTTGCACCCTTAACGCTGATGTGACAGAGTATGTGTATTTCACTCTCCCAAAGGAGAGTGAGAAGTAAGAAAAAATAATTTTCAGATTATTTTTTATTCTTTTTTACCATTTTTTCTTACTTTTTTTTCCTTTTCCTTTTCCTTTCTCTTTTTCTTTGTCTTTTTCTTTTACTTTTTTTTCCGTTTCTTCTCTAATTCCGGCGGATATTCATTCACCGGCGACTTTGTCTAACCGTTTTTCTTCCATTTTTTATTTTCACACACAAATTAAACTCTCAAAAAGATCTATTCATATGCAAAGCAAAATACACTCAGATTTGGGGGGGGGGGGGGGACTTCATCATCGGAAAACCTTCCCACGCCGGAAAAAAATGATGTATTGAAATTTTAACTGGAAAAAGTTTTCTCAACTTATATTCATTTTTATTTCTTTTGCTCTTCCTCCCACACATAAACTATACTTTCAAGAAATTTTTTTATATATATAAAACAAAACACACTTAGATCGGGATAAAAATATCGCCGGAAAAAATGGTATTTGTGAAATTCCGACGACCACCATTTTATGCCGCCGGTGACCAAAACAATAAAAAAGAGAATGAAATAACCAAAAAAAATGAGAATAATAAAAAATAAGAAAAAAGGATAAGAAAAAGAAGAAAGAATAAAAAAAGTACTAAAAATACATGTGGGGCGCGTGTAGCTCACCACTTGCCAAGAGTTTGGTTGTCAGCGTTAAGGGTGCAAATAATTACATTTAAAATAAGTTTAGGGGGGTAATAGGATTCCCGCAAAGAAAAAGTGTGTAGTTGGGAATCCGGGTATAGGTCAGGGGGTACTTATGCATTTTTTCTTTTTCTTAATCATAAATCATTAAGTTGAGAGTATTTTATGTCATAATTAAAATAAAAATTATTGTACGTTATCCACTAAGACTGCTATGATAGTTAATTTTAAATAAATTTTTCATTTAAAAAGTATTTATTTATTAACTTTTGTTATGTCTTTACTATATAATAGTCCATAATTTTTTTATAATTATTTTTCTAAAGATTTTTTTTTTCACGTTTATGAGATACAATATTTGTTGATTTAATAGCTCAGTATTAGCTAGTAACTATTTACAAATAATTAGTTATCATGATATTGTATGGTGAATTATGTGTCACTTTATTAACTTATTAAAATTTAAAAATAAATGATGCTAGAGAATCATATCGAAATTGTGAATTATGTTTTTATATTAATTCTCTTTCAAATAGAAAGCATATTAAATAAAAAGGAGTATTTTCAAAAAAATATCAAATTATAATATCGAAATTCTTTCAAGATTCATTACTCCTCAAGAGATACATATAAGATTTCGTATCGAATACATTACTTTTTGTGACCCGGATTTCCCACCATCGGGAGTCGTGATGGCGCCTACTATCGGAGCTAGGCAAGCCAAGCCTTTTAAACATTCCCTGATTTCACCTCAACAAGAACAATATAAATATAACGAGTCATTTAAATTAAAGCGGAAGTCTCTAAAACACAGATAACTGAAAAACCCAAAATGCGGAAGTTTAACATTTCTCTACCCAAGACTGGTGTCGCTATCTCACGAACTACTAAAGAGTGCTACAAACAAGTCTGAATAAAATTGCATAAGTGTCTGTCTCGGTACAATGAAAACAAACTGAAAACATAGAAAAGGGACTCCGGCCTGCGAACGCCAGCTAGGCTACCTCGTAAGTCCCTGGACTGAAGTCAGCTCCCGATCAATATCCTACTGCTGTGGTCCAAAAGCTACTCCGGTACCGTGATCTGTGCAAAAGAGCACAGAAGTGTAGCATCAGCACAACCGACCCCATGTGCTGGTAAGTGCCTGGCCTAACCCCGGTGAAGTAGTGACGAGGCTAGACAGGACTACCAAATCAACCTGTGCAGTTCAATGTATATATATGCAATACAAGGAAAGAATACAAAAATTAAACAGTTAAGAGGGAGGGGAGCATACTATGGGGGAAAGTACAGTCCGGATATAAAATCAGCAATTTAAGTAAGAAACAGGACAATAAGAATAATTAATGAGAGCAGGAAAAAAAATCAACAGTTGCATGACATCAACCTTCGTGCTTTTACTCTCATTCTCACCAAAAGCAATCAAATAAAATGCACGGCATCACCCTTCGTGCTTTCCCTCACGTAACTCTCATATCATGGCACGGAATGATCCTTCGTGCAATTATAATCAAATCAGAGTACGGAATGTCCCTTCGTGCATAAATATTCAAAACATGGCACGGAATGACCCTTCGTGCAAATATAATCAAAGCATGGCACGGAATGACCCTTCGTGCATTATCACTCTTCCTCACCCAAATAGTAATCACAACAAAACGGGGCGAGGGGATAAACAAATAATAAGAAATGTCCCGGCAAGGGAATTACACAATTAACAGCTAAATTCCGGCAAGGGAGATAATCAATATACTCAAACCATCCCGGCAAGGGATTAATCATATCACTTTCTATTTCTTTCATTGCTTACTCAATAGTCTTTTTATCGTTCGAGCCGACGCCCCAAAGAATTTACAATTCATAATTAGTCCTCATACCCTTCACATTGCATAGAATTCATCAATTAACATGGAAGAGTCATAACAATATCGGAATAAGTACATACAAGGACCCACGGTCATGCTAGACACCGGTGTATAGATACTCGTCACCATGCCTATATGCCGTACTCGATCATTTAGCAATTAGCAAATAATAACACTGTAATCCTATTCCTTCAAGCCAAAGTTAGATCAAACACTTACCTCGGTCCAAAGAATAGCAATCAATCCTCAAATACCGCCTTTCCTCTACAATCCGACTCCGAAATAATGGTATCTAGGCATAATTAATTCAATAATATCAATAAAGACCCAATGGTAACATCCCATAGCCTAGATATGAATTTGCCAAGCATTCTTCCAAAAATACCAAAATTCGACACCGGGCCCACATGGTCCAAACACGAGGCTCGGACCAAAACCTAGTCACTCATAACCCCACGAGTTCAAATATGCAATTTGTTTTAAGATTCGATCCCAAATTGAGGTTGAATCACCCAAAATTCTCAAAACCCTAACTCTACCCAAAACCCCTAATTTCTACTTTGATTTCATATTTTTAGGCCTAGGAATTCATTAATTAATGAAGAAAAAACGAAGGAATTAGGTGGGGAATTACTTACCCAAGTGACCTTAAAGAAGGGAGGCTTCAATGGGGTCCTAAGGCTTGAAGGAGAATGGAGCTCGTGAGAAAAAGTGAAGAAATCCCGTAACTATTCTGTTTTTAGACTTTAAAAATCGCTGAGCAAAAATGCCCTTCGCGTTCGCGGGAAAGGGGCCGCGTTCGCGAAGGGTTAATTCAACTGGTCATCGCGTTTGCGATGAGGAGGCTGCAAACGCGAAAAGAAAGACTGGGGGGGGGGGGGTTCCAGGGAAATGCTCTACGCGAACGCGTGGAGTGACTCGCGAACGCGGTGAGGGAGGAACTGAAGCTATGCGAACGCGGGAATCAGTCCGCGAACGCGAAGAAGGGGACCTGGCCAGCATCGCAATCGCGTAAGGCCGATCGCGAACGCGAAGAACAAATCTGGCCTGCAACAGCTGAAGAAAACCTGCTATATTTCTAAGTGCAAAACCACCCCGAACCACCTCCGGATCACTCCCGAGCCCTCGGGGCTCCTAACCCATCACACACACTAACCCAACAACATCCTACGAACTTAACCGAGCGATCAAATCGCTAAAATAACATCATAAACGAGGAATCAAACCTCAAAATTATCATTTTTCATTCTAACTTCATAAACTTCAAATCATAGATATTTAGGTCCGAAACACGTCAAATGACGTCCGATTTCGACCAAACTTTATAGAAAGTGCTTAACACATATTTAAGACTTGTTCCGGGCGTCGGAACCAAAATACGAGCCCGATACCATAATCTTTTAATAAATTTTTATTTCCATTTTCCTTAATAATTCTAGAAAAACAATTTCACAGAAAAATTCTTTTCCTCGGGTTCTAGACCTCGGATTTCGACTCCGGGCACATGCCCGAGTCCCATATTTTTCTAGGGACCCTTCGGGACCGTTAAATCACGGGTCCGGGTCTGTTTACCAAAAATGTTGACCGAAGTCAACTTTAATCATTTTAAAACTATATTTTGAAATTTTTCACAGAATTTAACATATAATCTTTCCGGCTACGCGCCCGGACTGCGCACGCAAATCGAGGCAAATGAAAATGAGGTTTTCAAGGCCTCGGAAGCACGGGATGAAAGAGAAAACAGGTGATGATCCTTTGGGTCGTCACATTCTCCACCTCTAAAACAACCGTCGTCCTCGAACGGACAAAA